GAAATACCACACGGGAAGTTGCTCACAGTGAGAAGCCTGGATTCTGGGTCTCCCCATCCTGGGGATTCTACCACCCAGGACTTTCCCAAAGGGGAGCAAATCTACCCTGCTGGGGCGGTCTTGGCCTGGCTACACCGCTCCAGGCTGTGAACCTCCTGCACACTCACAGTCAAGTGCCCATTCTCTCTGCCTCCCAAAGGGGTCCTGAGCATTAATTAGCTCCCATTAGTAAAGTGCTCTGAAGATGCAGGGGTGGATAAACACCACAAGTCATCAGGCCTCACCACACCACTCTGCTTCAAGCTGGGGACTGCTAATTGAGAAATAATTAACACCTCGGGTGCAGAGGACACTGCCTGGCTTGGCCGGGATTGGAAAGGATGTAATAACATGCCCAGGGAGCAGGGAGAGAGAGGCTACATTGGCTGTGTGGGTCCTGGAACGTTCTGGAGATTACTTGCCACTTGCCCCACGAGGGGGAGCAAGGGGTATTGCCCCAGTGGAACCTCTGGGACCACAGTCCCCAGGGACAGCTCCCCACCTGGTGCTGAGCCGCAGACACTGAACAGGCTCTTAGAGACAAAAGATCTCCAGTTGACCAGCTCTTCCCAGCCTCCCAGCTGTGGGCAGATGCCAGTTGTGCGCTTCGCCCAAGCTGTATGGCCTCAGCTTTAAGGCAGGATGTTAACATGCGCGCTGCCCCAAACACTGGCACTACCAGGTTGTCGAGTGCCTTTCTGCTGGGCCAGGGGAATCTAACCCAGGCTCCCACTAGGATCTTCAAGGCAATGTAAAATACTGAGCCTGGGCCAGACAGCTGCAGGTGGGAGGAGTGCGGTCTAGGTTGAGAAGCACTGCCCTGGCTATGTGCCAAGAGTGTTGTTAGGAGCTGTGAGAAGTAAAGATGCAAACCGTACCACACCCCAAAATCCTCTCATATCTGTCAGTTCCTGATCTGTGCCCTTGAGGGTCCTGGTCCCTCTGCCTGGACATTCTGCTCCATTTCTGCTGCCATTCTTGTCTTGGTAAACCTCATTTATCCTTCAGGCCCAACTCAAAGGTCACCTCCACCATGAAGCCCTCCTTCCCCATGCTCCCACAGGGCTTTACTCAGTCCCCTTTCTGCCACCAGCTACACAGCATTGTTCTAGAAAATGCTGCTGGTCTGAGAGCTTCTTTTTTTTCCAAATTAATTTATTTTACATTCATTCACTGAGCATCATCATAGCATACAACATGTGATTTCCCATCCAGAATACATTGCATAGTGGCTTAATCATGCATGTTATCATCGACAAATAATTTTCCATTTCTTGTTTCATATATATGTATATACTTTTCCCCCTATTTCTCACCCTCTGCCATTTCCCACCCTCCTCCCTCACTGTCTCTGGTGTCTACAGTTGCTTTCCACGCCTTCCCTCACACACACATTTTATTGATTCACAAAATATCTTAATTAATCTAACTACTTCCAATAGCAAGTGCAGCTGATATATACGTACCTGTAAACACATGTCTGACTTCAGGCATGAAGTTCTGAGTAGAATGAATATACTTAAATAGATACAGGTACTTTTATTAATTAAATTAATAAAATGGGCATTTTAATTAATTAATTAAATAGATATTTTTAACATAATTTTTAATTTCAAGAAAAGCAAAATCAAAATTTTTAAAAAATGCTGAGAGAGCTTTGCTTAAAACTTAAAGCCAGGAAACAGGTTAGGATTCCGTTCAAATAGTAGGTACATGAACCTATCGGCAGCTCAAGACAAGACAAAAATTCTTAAATCTGGAAAACAAAGCATAGAAAAAAATCAGTACTGTTTTAATCAAAAGTTGTAAGATTCTACTTCACCAGTTCAGTCTCATGTACTTAATCTAATTTCTGTTGTGGTCCCATCTTCTCGTTTAAATTCTGGAACACAACCTTCAAATCTAGACTTGTCCCTATCATTAAGTTGACAATTTTCTTGGTTGTTTTTGAATTCTTATTTCTATGTTTCTGTATTTAGTTTTCCTGGTATACCACTCACTTCAAAACTTCTTGGAAAGCTGGACTGGTGTTGGTAAATTCTTTCAGGTTTTGTTTATCTGAGAATGTTCTTTTATTTTCTTTCCATATAAAAGATAATCTTACCAGGTACATTATTCTTAGTTGAAATTGTTTTTTCCTTAACACTTGGAATCTATTGTCCCATTCTTTCCTCGCTCGCATTGTTTCCAATGAGAGGTCTGCTGTTAGCCTGATGGGATGTCCTTTGTAGGTAACTTGCCATTTCTCTCTTGCCAATCTTAGTTTCTTTGTCTGTGGTTTTGATCAACCTGGCTATAATGTGTCTCGAATAAGATCTTCTTGGGTTGATTCTATTTTGGATCCTTTGTATTTCTTGGGACTGGATCTTTGAATGCTTCTCTAGGTTTGGAAAGTTTTCTTCTAGGATTTCATGGAACAGATTATCAATGATGCCTTTATTAGTCTCATCACCTTCTAGAATACCAATTATCCAGATGTTTGGACATTTAATTGTATCTAGTATTTCTCATATATTATTCTCATTTTAGGGGGCTATTTTTTCCAGTCTTAGTAGTAGATTTTTCTAGGCCAGTGATTCTGTCTTCTACAATGGAGATTTGATCCTCTGTATGAACTAGTCTACTTTCAATACTTTCAAGGGAGGTTTTGATCTCCTGTATTACAGTCTTCTTCTCTAACAACTCCATTTAATTCTTTATTCCTCACTTCCTGGAACTCATTGTTTCTTTTCTCCGCATCTTCTGGAGTTAATTGTCTCTCTTGCATCTCTGTTAGCTTTGTCACTATGAATATTCTGAATTCTTTACCTGACAGTTCCACAAGTTCCTATGTAATGTCTGTGGATGATGAAGGGCTGTTCTTTTCCCTTGAGGGAGAGATATTTTCTTGTGTTTTTTTTTTTTTTTTTTTTTTTTTTTTTTTTTTTTTTGTGCCCCTGTGGTGATTTCTGGTTATCTGATGGGTTGTGTGTTTCTTCCTAATTCTTAAAGTTCAGTCTGAGCTGTCATAGGCTTGCTGGAAGAGGTAATCTGCAATCTCTCTTCTGTTTTTCACCCTTGTGTGTCAGATTCAGTGGGAATTAAGGAATATTCTGACCCAATCTAGAAATGGGTCTGTACAGAGAAGTCTCAGCAGAAAGTCTTCATTTTTAGTCCCTGAAAGCAATATTTCACAGCTGGAGTTCAGTAGCCATCTCAGAATTGGCTTTGGTTGTTGCCGCTCCTAGATGGGAGGGCCTGAGAGATTCTTGGGGCCAGTGTCAGAATTACCAGTGTCTTACATTGGGGCTGGTATGTTTTAGGCACTCGAGAAACAGTTGTGTTTTGTTTTTTTTTCTTTTTAATACTTTTTAAAGTTTATTTATTTATTTATTTTAATTTGAGCAGAGAGGGACAGAGCGAGAGTGAGAGAGAGATGAAGAGGGAAAGTGAGCTGTCAAGTCCAGGACCCAAACCATGGTCAGCCTTGTAGGAGTCCAGCGCCCTTAACCACCATCCTACCTGCTGGCCAAAAACTGTTATTAGGCCAAGTTACATGATATGCAGCTCCTACCTCAGAACATTTGCACTTATCATCTCCATATCTGAAACAGTCTTCCTCCCAGATATCTGTGAGGCTCTGTCTCTCATCTCCTTTAGCTTTTTGCTAAAATGTCACCTTCTTATTTAGGCTTTCTTTGTTCTTTTTTTTTTTTTCCCTGCTTTATTATATTTAATTTTTATTTGAGGAGGCAAAACTCAACATGGCTGATGTTAAACTTATTTTGTAAATCAATTATTTGCTGCACAAATATGTAGATGATATCCATATATTGAAGGAAAATACGCAAGATCTTCTGAGGAGGTAATTCCATTGGCTCCTTGTTCTATTTTTTTTTTTTTTTTTGGAGAGGCTTTTTGCTATAGGGCGCGTGCGCTCGCCAGACAGACAGAGAGACAGACAGAGAGCGAGAAATCACCCCCCAGAGGGGATGGCCACGCCGCAATCCCTTCTCCTCCATTCTCCCCTCTGGCTCTTGGGCACGCACGGACACGTGCCCGGCGTGAGTTTTAAGCCACCGGGTCCGGGATGCGAACCGCGGTGGACTATGTGGGAGTCCAGTGACATAGCCATTATGCTAACTGCTGGTTCCCTCCTTGTTCTATTTTAAGATGCAGCCACCTGAACTCCAACTCAATACTCCCTCATTAATTTTCCTCCTAGCATTATCACTATCTGACTAATAAAGACTGTCTTTACTTGAAATGTGGCTCATTGTGGATTTTTTGCATTAATTTTGGAGGGTCTTTTTATTATTATTATTATTATTATTTGTATGAAAATACTATTTTATCTTGATTACTGAGTTATCTCCTCTCCTCCCTTCCCCCAATTAAATTCCATTGTATTGGCTTACTGTCCATCTCTTTTCCTGGAATGTAAGCTACAGTGAATGCAGAGAATTCTGTTTTGTTCATTATTCCCCCCACTCCCCCGTCGTGTACGTGGTAGTTGCTCAAACAATACTTTTGATTGGAAGTTTGAATTGTGTCTTACAGACTTTCTCCAACTGTTTAACAATTTTGAAATTATTTACATTGAAAACCTGTACATCCTAGGGTGGATTACAAAGTACAGTGTTCGGTGGGTTGTCATTGCTACACCGCCGCTGGCGGGCCTCCTACTCGGAGAGTGGGAGGGGCCTGGCAGGGGTGGGAACATCAGATTCATAGTCAAGACTTCGACCATAGAGTTACACCTCCCTAGTTCCTAGAGCGCACTCCTGGAATCATGATTTTCTGCCCAGACCTATCTATCGTCTTGGGGAGACGTTCTCTGTCCTGGACTAATCTTCCGGAAAGCCTCTCACTGGCGGCTAGAGAGGGGTGGGGCCAGAGTGTCCCGCCCCCGCCTCCTGAGCGAGACTTTGTGATTGGTGAAAAGGACGGGAGGCGGGGCTTGGAGACAGGATTGTCCCTGGCGCAGGCGCGCTGGCCCGGCGTGGCGGTAGCGTGGGAAGTGCTGGCTAGGACTTCGCTGGTGAGCGTGGGTGACATCTAGACATGAGGGTCGGGCGGGATCGCGGAGGGAAGTAAGGACCGGGTTCTGGGCGCAGAGGACCTAGAGACCTGTGGCTGTTTCCCCACATGCATCCCATGCTTGAATGGGAGCGGGGTCACAGTCAAACTCAAACGATCCTTATTCTTCCGAGGTAAAAAGAGAGCAGCACTTGCTCCCCTGTCTGCCTCTGATCGTGAGGGTCACAGAGTTCCTACAGCCTGGCCCTGCCAAGGCCCCGGGGCTCACCTGGTGGCTGAGTCAGCCTTCCCTTTCTTTATGGGAAAATCGAGGTTCAGAAAATGGGGCACCGGAGAGTGGTGGCCGAGCAGTTCTTAGAGCCAGGTCTGGGGTCCCTTTGCTGTTTTAGGCGGCGCAGTCAGTAATGGCAACTTCATAGATTTGGAGACACCGCCCTTGCCTTCCTCAGAGCCTCCCTCTTCTGTGACTGGGCTTTGATATTAACAAGTATAACAACAAACGCTTTAGGCACTTACTGTGTAACTGAATGATGAGTTGGAGTTGCTAGGGAATGGCGTATTCCAGGAATGATGAGCAGTCTGGGGCATATTAAGGGAGGGGTAGGACAAGCTGGAAGGGATGTGTTGAGATCCAGGTATGAAGAGTTTGGTGCGATTCTGAGAAATTATGATTGGGAGCAGTAGTGGATTAAAAATGGGAGTGAGTGGTCCAGTGTTTTTAAAGCTGTTATATATATGGAGACTATAATAGATGGATGGGTCAAGAATAATTGGATTCATTCATTGGTAAAACGTTTATTTTTTTCTTTTTGCCATAGGGCACGTACACTCACCAGACAGAGGCAGAGGGAAAGTGAGAAATCACCCCTGAGAAGGGCTGACCACGCCACAATCCCTTCTCCTCCCAGGATTTTGGGCATGCACACACATGTACACAGCATGTTATTCAATTCACGGGATCTGGGACTCAAACCACAAAGTCAGCTATATGGGGCCCAGCACATACACCACACTCCCTGCTGATCCACGTAAAACCTATTTTTTAAGTTTGTCACAGAGATAAAGAGACAAGCACCCTCAACAGAGTCACATGCCATGATCCTCCCCCCAGCTATCCAGATCACAGGCCCATGCCTGGAGTGTACAGGTCCACCTGGGAACTGAACCCTCACCTTCCCAGTGGATTTCCACCATCACAGAGTGTTGCATTACTACTGCCCCATTGCAGCTGGGCCATTTTCATGGGAGATTTAGTGAGTGTCCACTATGTCCAGATACTATGCTGAATGCTACATATACGACCCAGGATAATTAGTCATGGTGGCTCCTCTGGTGGAGTTTACTATGTAAATCAGCACGTTGTACAGCTGGGTCTGTAGCAGTTCACCAGTGTGGTCCTCGGACCTGCAGCATCTCCATCACCTAGGAACTTATAAGAAATGCAAGTTTCAGGGCCAGCAGGTGGCATGGTGGTTAAGGCACTGGACTCCCACATGGCCAACTGTGGTTCGAGTCACGGACCTGGCAGCTTGCTTTCCTGACTTTCCTTCTCTCTCTCTCTCTCTCTCTGGTGAGCACATGTGCCCTGTAGTTTCTTCCCACACCCCAGACCTACCGAATCAGAACTCCCCACAATCGGTGTTTAACAAGCCCTCCAGTGATCCTGATGTGTGCTTAAATTCCCAAACCACTGGGCCACTGCAGTGTACTAAGTGGCCACCCCAAGGCTGAGGCAGTTAGGGCCAGAGAGAAGGGAGCGGGCTTGAGTGAAATCTTGGAGACAGACTCATTTGCTCTAGGTAGAGTTAAGGATGAAGGAGCTTCTGACTCAGGCCAGGAGGCCAAAGGTGGTCTCTCAAATAAGTAGTAGAGCCAGGTATGAACTCACACATGCCCCTTGCCTCCATGGGCTACACTTTTCCCTGAAGCCACCCTAGGGCTCCGTGGCAGTGCTTCCAGTCTCATATCTGTACACTGCACGGGAGAAGTGGATGAGGCTGCGGGAGTTGGACAAGCCCAGCTGGAGGACCGGAGGCTGCTGAAGACAGTGGGGACCAGCTGAGGGCTTCCAGCTCCCAGGGCTGAGAGGAGTCAGTAATACTGCCAGGGAGCTTGTGCATGGACTATGCTGAGTCATAGAGTTACTCGCCGAATTTGGCAGTATAAATCAGGAAACTCCAATGAGTTTATACCCTTTGACTCTGTAATTCCTTTCTCTATTGTCTTCCAAATACAGAACAAAAAAGAAGACACCTCTGTTTATCATGGTGTATGTAGAACAGAGAAAATGGACAACTATAGTAGAATAGTTTTCGATGTAGTCGTTCAGTGAAATGTGCTGCTGTTAGAAATACCGATTTTGCAAAATCGTAGAGTAGCATACTTGCCTGTTGGACAGTGTCTAGGAAGGTCCTGCCCTGTGATGAGGATTCAGCAATGAACCAGCTAGAGTGGTCCTGGCTGGACAGCACTGTGTCTGGGGGAAGGCAGCAGCCCAGTGAGCAGTCACCTGAGTGGTTGGCATTGGACAGGGATGAGTGGGCTGTACAGGACAACCCAGTCCTTTGGGGTGAGGACAAGGAAAGCTTCCTAGGTTGGTAATCCTGAGGCCTGCAGATGGGTAGATGTTGGTGTGCAGAGGGGACGGGGTGTCCTTCGCACTGGAGACAGTGTGTTTGAGAGTAAGCATGGTGTAGCCAGAACAGGGAGAGGGTGGGAGGGAGATAAGGCCAGAGGGCTCCAGCTTACCTAGGGCTGTATGTGCCCCAGAGTCAGACGTTTAGACCGTATTCTAAGGGCTGCAGGAAAGTGTTTTAAGCAAGAATCCTCACTGTCTGTGTGTTGGAAGTCTTCCCCAGAAGGAGGCAGGAATGGAGCAGGAGGCCAGCGAGGAGGAGATTGCAATGGCCCAGATGAGATGGTGGCCTAGACCTAGGCAGAGGCTGTGGAGAGAAAGGGATACATTCAACTGCAAACAAACAGACCTGATGAAACCGCCAAGAGGGCTGGTGAATGGGACAAAAGAGGAGCAGAATAGACGAACCTAGGTTTCCGGCATGGTGAAGGGCAGCTCATGTGCCATTCAAAGTGATAGGCAACACGGAGGGGGACAGATGCCAAGCTCATTCTGCAACGCAGAGTTTGAGGAACCCACATAGTAAATTCCCCAGGAGGCAGGTGGGTGCAGGCCTGGACTCGGGAGACACACAGGCGAAGCAGAGGTGTTGACTCAGCTTGCATTCTGGCCAGGGAGCATAGGCTGTGAAGAGGGCAAGGGACACAGTATTCCAGCGTGTGTCCGTGCACGTAGACATCCACATGCATGCAAATGCAAGGTGAGTGAGGTTGAGGGGGACAAAGGACAGGGTTTACAGAAGAAACAAGGAATTACTGAGTCGTCGGAAAGGTCATGATAAATTTTTGCATAGAGAAATATGTCATGGCTTCTTTTTTGTTTTAGAAAGATTTTTGCTGTAGTGCACGTGCACTCACCAGAGAGGCAGACAGAAAGCGTGAAATCTACCCCCAGGGGGATACCCACATGACAATCCTTTCTCCATTCTCCTCTTGGGATCTTGGACACACATGCAGATGCGCCCAGCGTGAGGTTTAAGCCACCATGCCCAGGACTCAAACCATGGTTGGCTATGTAGGAGTCCAGCAGACTCGAACCGCTGTCGGCTCTGTGGAAGTTCAGCAACATAACCATTACACCATCTGCTGGTCCTACATCATGACTTCTTTGACCCAGTACAGCAGAATATTAGCAGCAGTTGTCGCTGGGCCGAAGGATTAGTTGATTTTCCTTTTTCTTAACTCTTCTAAATTCCCATGGTCTTGTGGTTGTTACCATTTCACAGATGAAGAAACTGAGCCCAGGTGGACTCGGGCACACATCCCAGAGTGCAGCCAGGAGGAAGCTCAACTCAATTCCAGGCTGCCTGGTTTCAGAGTCTGTGTGGACCCTACGTGCAGGTGTCCTCACAGTGTGATTTAAAAAAAAAAAAAAATGGGAGAGAGAAGAAAAGCAGTGCTTTGATCTGCCAGGAAGTTAGAAATGGAAGGCTTTGTATTTCATAAAATCAGTGGCTGTCTTAAGCTCACTGGAGACCCGCCTGTGCTGCTCATGGTGTCAGAGCACAGCGAAGGCTCATTTCCACACAATTCATTTTCTCCAGGTGCCAGCGCCTCCCTGTGCCAGACTGTCATGGAAGGGCTATTGATAAGATTCAGAGCGCAGTCTGTCCTGGCCACCTGCAGCCACCAGCTCTCTGGGTATGTTCCCCTTAGGTCTCACCACGGTGCCCCAAAGAGAGGGCAGCGCTTAGTGCTGTCCCGCTTGTTCCAGCCTCAGAACCTTCGAGAAGACCAGGTGCTCTCCCTAGAGGGCAAGTCTGGTGACCTGACTTGTAAGAGCCAGCGGCTGATGCTGCAGGTGGGCCTGATCCACCCGGCAAGCCCTGGCTGTTACCACCTCCTGCCTTACACCGTCCGTGCCCTGGAGAAGCTCGTGCGGGTGATAGACCAGGAGATGCTGGCCATTGGGGGCCAGAAAGTCAACATGCCCAGCCTCACCCCAGCAGAGCTCTGGCGAGCCACCGGCCGGTGGGACCTGATGGGCAAGGAGCTGCTGAGACTGAGAGACAGGCACGACAAGGAATACTGCTTAGGACCGACTCACGAGGAAGCCGTCACGGCCCTGGTTGCCACCCAGAAGACACTGTCCTATAAGCAGCTTCCACTCCTGCTGTACCAGGTGACCAGGAAGTTTCGGGATGAGCCCAGGCCTCGCTTTGGTCTTCTCCGGGGCCGAGAGTTTTACATGAAGGACATGTACACCTTCGACTCCTCCCCAGAGGCCGCCCAGCAGACCTACAGTCTGGTGTGTGACGCCTACTGCAGCCTCTTTGACCGGCTGGGGCTGCAGTTCGTCAAGGTCCAGGCAGATGTGGGCAGCATTGGGGGCACGATGTCACACGAGTTCCAGCTGCCCGTGGATGTTGGAGAAGACCGGCTTGTAGTCTGCTCCAGCTGCAGCTTCTCGGCCAACATGGAGACGCTAGGCATGTCACAGATGAACTGCCCTGTTTGCCAGGGCCCGCTGACCGAGACCAAAGGCATTGAGGTGGGGCACACGTTTTACCTGGGCACCAAGTACTCTTCCATCTTCAATGCCCAGTTTACCGATGTCCACGGCAAAGCAGCCCTAGCTGAAATGGGGTGCTATGGCTTGGGTGTGACCCGGATCTTGGCTGCTGCCATCGAAGTCCTGTCTACAGAAGACGGTATTCGCTGGCCCAGCCTCATTGCCCCTTACCAAGCCTGCCTCATCCCCCCTAAGAAGGGCAGTAAGGAGGCGGCGGCTGCAGAGCTCCTGGGGCATCTGCACGACCACATCTCAGAGGCTCTGCCCCAGCTTCGCGGGGAGGTACTGGTGGATGACAGGACCCACCTGACCATTGGAAACAGACTGAAAGACGCCGGCAAGCTTGGCTACCCCTTTGTGATCATCGCGGGCAAGAGGGCCCTCGAGGACCCTGCGCATCTCGAGGTTTGGTGTCAGAACACTGGGGAGGTGCTTTTCCTCACCAAAGAAGGGGTCCTGGAGTTGCTGACGCAGGTGCAGGTTGTGTAGATGTCCCGTTCCCAGCCATGGAGCTCACTCTAACAGTATGTTTTCCACACTCCTTTTCTGGGCTGGTCTCCCTAGAAGCAGGAGCACATGGACGGTGAGACCATGGTAGGAAAACCCGTTTCCATCCAGCCATTAGTTCAGATTCTTTGTATGTCAGGTCGTTAACTTGACCATATACCATTCCTTTTCTATTCCATTGTAGGCTTTATTTGGCAGGTGAGAGGTGAGAAAGAGGAGAAAGAGTTCTTTTTTTTTTTTTTTTTTTTGAGAGGTT